GGTCAGAAGAGGCTGTCGGATCCCCTGAGACTGGAGTTACAGACAGTTGTTAGCTGCCATGTGGGTGCTGGGATTTGAACCCCGGTCTTCTGCAAAAACAGCCAATGCTCTTAACCGCTGAGCCATCTCTCCAGCCCCTCTCATCATTCCTTTCTAAGCCACACAGTGTGACTGTGTCCACAGAATTTGCAGTATATTAGGTATTGTGTTTATGGCTCAGTCATCTTCATCAGACGGTTCTAGCTTTGTAAACACTACATGGTTTTACAAGCGCAGCTGGAACATCCACAGATCTGGGTTTCACCTGGGTCTTGGGCCCATCCTCATGAATACTGGGGATAACTGTGTGCTACCTCATCTCTAGATGTCCTAAAACACCCAACATAATGCCTGTACCTGTCAAAGCCCAGAACGGTTTCTGATTTTTTTTTTTTTTTTAATTTCCAACTTTCTCCCACAGACGATGGGCCTTACTCCAAAGGGGGCAAAGACACAGTGGGGGCTGATGGGGCCCTGGTGTGCCGCCGTCAGAGCATCCCAGGTAAGGTGGTTCTGACTGGCCCTCAGGTTCTGAAGGCTCAGAGAGTCCCCATGATTCACACAGTGTGGGTGCTGCCATTAACTGGCCCTGTGCCCTCAGTGAGGTCACTCTGGTCCTCCCTTGTGGGGAGTGATGGCACCCAGCATAGACTTGCCTAGTGCCTGCCTCCCCACCTTAGCCTCCTCAAGGCTTGGTCCTGGGCAGGCACTGCCTGGCTTCCTGCTCACCCACCCAGTTCTGCCAGCAGAGGAGTTCCGGGGTGTCACTGTGGTGGAGCTGATCAAACGTGAGGGCAGCACTCTGGGCCTGACCATCTCGGGAGGCACTGACAAGGACGGGAAGCCCAGGGTCTCCAACCTGCGACCTGGGGGCCTGGCGGCCAGGTAAGAAGTGTGGGCAGTTGGAGGGGCATTTGAGGGGTCCAGCAGATAGGAGAGACAGCTTGATATCTGCCACAGGGAGACCTCTGGTGGAGGCTGATCCTAGGCCCGGCCTCTTCTCTACCGCATGGTCACAGTGCCCCATCCGCCAGGCCATACATCCATGTTTCCTACAGCACTTTCCTGGCAGACTCCTATTCATCCCCTGACCCACTCAACACAGAAGTCACTGCTTCTAGGAAGGTCACTGGGACTGCCCACCAAGGCAGCAGTCTGTACTCACTGCTCTGGGCACTCTCTTAGACTGTGAGGGCTGGAAGTTGGCCTCCCATGGGCCAACCATCCAGATGAGCAGACCAGAAGGGTTTCAGTGGACCATGGGAAGAGAATGGGGGAAGAGCAATGAATGGAGCCTTCTGGCTGTTTCTTGGGCTTGTGCAGACTGGTCGGAGATGTCACCATGATGGTCTCACCAGTGCAGCACAGGGGGCCAGGCTGGGAAGTCCTGTGTCATCCTACTGCCCTGGCTATGTGACCTTGGACAAGGGAACAATTTCTCTGAGCCTCAACTTCCCTGTTTGTAAAATGAAGACCCAGGGAGTCTGAAGGCCCCAGGGAAGAAGGACGTGAATGCCAGCTCCCCCAGCCTGGCAGTGGTCCAACATGGGCTCTGACCTCCTTGCCTCAGGAGTGACTTGCTGAACGTCGGTGACTATATCCGCTCAGTGAATGGGATCCACCTGACTCGGCTCCGACATGACGAGATCATCACGCTGTTGAAGAACGTGGGCGAGCGCGTGGTGCTGGAGGTGGAGTATGAGCTGCCCCCGCCTGGTGGGTGCCCTTGGACGGGGAACTCTGTCCACTGCCTTGGGCATGGGGGTACACAGCTGCTTCCCCACCAGAGCCGGGGGTGTGGGGATCACCAAGACAGGGTGGGCGGCGCATCACAGGGCATGGAAGCAGTCTTCTGTCACCAGGTGGTGAGGATCTGTTCATAACCTACTGTTGGATAGAGGGGAAGGTTTGGGGGACACTGACTGAATAACTTGTTCCCTGTCCCACTGCCCTGCACTGAGCACAGTGGCCTGGGACATCTCCCAGCTCTTGATTTTCATTCTTAAAATTGTAGTGACCGGAAACCCACCCTGGCCTGAGCCCCTAGGTTCATTGTAGCCTGAGCTCTGTCATGGTCCTTGTAGCTTGGCCAGGTTCCTTCCCCTATTGGTGGTAGACTAGGTGTGGGTAGGGATGGGGACCTTTCCACAACTTGCTTCTACCTGCAATGTGGAGAGAGGCTGGCCACCACTGAGACAGTGGTTGCTCACCCAGCTTTCCTGGAGCGAGCCTCAGGCACATCTGCTGGCTCAAAGATGTGGCAGAGAGACTCAAAGGAGGCCTCAATTTTTCCACAGCTCCCGAGAACAACCCAAGGATCATTTCTAAGACGGTGGATGTCTCCCTCTACAAGGAAGGCAATAGTTTTGGCTTTGTCCTCAGAGGTCAGTGTGACAGTCACCTTGGAGTTGAGGAAATAAGAGAGAGGCTGCTGAGAATCCACATGTGTTCTGTTTCATGCACCTTGCTTGGGACTTTACATTCATTTATTTAACCTGGAATCTGTGTGTGTATGTGGTGTGTATGTGTCAGGGGACAACTTGTAAGCGCCCACCATGTGGGTTCTTGGGATTGAACACAGGTTGTCAGGCTTGGCAGTAAGAATATTTATCTACTGAGCCATCTTGCCATCCCTAGCTTAGGACTTTCAAGAACCCAGGACCTCAGAGTCAAGTTCAGTGCTAAGTGGAAAATTGAGTGAAACAATGAAGTGTGAAGGGCTGAAGGGAGCAAGATGGGGAAACAGACAAAAGATGATGATGGAGAAAGCTGTTACTGAGGTTCACAACAAGTTTGGAGCTGCCTAGTAATTGGGGCAAAAAGGGAGAGAAGATGAGATCACAGGAGGGGAAGCAAGCTATTTGACAGGATTTGGGTAGTATTTGCTGTCCCTCATCCTCCCTGGGGAGGACTCATAGTTGGTATTTCACAAAAAGTTCCTTGAAGAGCAAGGACAAGGTCTTCTATTGAGGGAGACTACCTGGGGTGAAGTCAGGCCATTTGCACACCAGGGAAGCAGTGGGTAGATGATTCCTGCTTCTTGTTGAATTCTGTCCAGGAGGAGCCCACGAGGACCTGCATAAATCCCGCCCACTTGTCCTGACCTATGTGCGGCCTGGTGGCCCAGCAGACAGGTGAGCCTGCCAGAGACAGAAGCAGGTACATCCCCGGCCACATGCTGAATAGAAACCCTGTGAATGCTTCCTGGGCTTCTGAGGGCCCATTTCTTCAGCTCATTGCCTAGATGAGCAACTGAGGCTGGGGAGGGGACATACCTGCCCACAGTCAGTCAGAGAATTGGTGAACCTGGGTGACACCCAGAAGGGAGACCCTGGCTGATTCCTTCCCGCCTCCTCCTGACTCAGACTGAGGCAGGATAGCCTGGAATCAGTGACTGGCCATCATCGGGCCTATCTGAGATAATCTCCCATGCCTGGCTATGCCTGGCTCAGCCCAGCAGAGCCAGGGCAGGATATGGGGGGAGGAATGTGTCCTGGCCCCACCCAGGAACTCTGACCCCCTAGATCTCTGGGCTGGAGATTCCTGGTCATTTGACAAGAAGCCTGGGCCAGGTTTGTGGAAGATCTAAATTTGTCCTTGGGACAGGGCCTCCATGAGCTAACTGCTATTCATAGAACCTCCTAGAATAGCTTTGGCACCTGTTGGGCTGGCATTCCAGGGCAGGGGTCAGGCCCAAACCAAAGCCCTGCCGAGTTCTTTCCCAGGCTCTTCTGTCACTAGGCCAGAGATCCTGCTGGAAAGTCAGGATGGGGACAGTGGTAGGAGACTCTACAATGGGCAACATGGTACCTGCAGACCGCCCCTCTTCTGATGCTGTGTGGTCCTTGTAAGGCAGGCACCCTCTCTGGGCTGTAGTGCTACCCCTGGTGCAGGAGCTGGGTGGGTGGCCTTGAAGAACACCCCAAACTCAGAAATACTGTGAGGTAGAGGGCATCTAAGCTGGCCTGGCACCCCTTCCTCGCCCACCCCATCTGCTCACCCCTACTCAGACTTGCCTCCACACTCAGTGTTTCCCTTCTGCCCCACTTCCCTTCACTGATGGGCCTTCCCCTCTGCCGTAGGGAGGGCTCCTTGAAGGTGGGTGACAGACTGCTCAGTGTAGATGGGATCCCACTGCACGGGGCCAGCCATGCCACTGCACTAGCCACCCTGCAGCAGTGTAGCCATGAGGCCCTTTTCCAAGTGGAGTACGACGTGTCCACATCGGGTATGTTGGTGCCTGAGGGTAAGGTCCTGGCTGGGAAAGGGTTCTGATCCTTAGCACCTCAAAGGCTGTGTGATCTTGGGCCAATTTCTTAGCCTCTCTGAGCCTCTTTAGGCAATTCATGCTATGTAGCAGGCATTTTCTGATTCATTGGGGATCCAGCAGGAACGATTACAGATGAGGCCTCTGGTCTCACCGGGAGGGAAGGTCAACTAGTAGATTGGGTAAGTTGATGTGTGTTAGATGGCAGTAAGAGAAAGAGAGAAGGGGAGTGGGCATGGCCTCTAGGACTAGGGCTGGAGTGAGGGGGTACAGGCCTGGGGATGAGCCTTCCAGGCAGGATGAACCATCGGTGCCAAAGCCCTGGGGCAGGAGCTGGGGGTAGGAACTTGGGGTAGGAGCCGGGGGTGTGTGTATTTGACCTGGCTGCAGCAGATGACTGAGTGGGAGGAGGCCAGGATAGAGGGGGTGGTGGTGGAACCCAAGGGGCTGCAGGAAGTGACTAGCTGTCCCTGGGAGAATGATACAGGGACTAGACTGTTTGGGAATGGGAATGTTTGGGAAATCAGTGGAGGTCACACCAGTCTGATTTGCTGGTGGCTGTATGTGCCTCTTCCCCTTAGCACCCCTGCTTGTGATATGCATGTGGCCTGTGACTGGCCCCTTCCTTGGCAATAAGAGTTAACCCACAGCAGAGCCAGGCTGGGCAGGACCAGTGAGCAATGTTTACATTCTACAGTACTTTTTTCCATTGTGCCAGACACTGTGACCAATGCTTCAGGGCCATTGGTAGTAGAAATAGCCAAGACGCCGGGGTCTGCCCTGGGGATCTCACTCACCACTGGCTCCCATCGGAACAAGCCAGCCATCACCATTGACCGCATCAAGCCAGCCAGCGTAGTGGACAGGTGAGGAGAGGTAGGGGTGAGCAGTGGGGAGGCAGCCTACGGTGCTGTCCAATGGACCAGCCCCTCTATGCCTCTGGCCTATAGGAGTGGTGCCCTGCATGCTGGAGACCACATCCTGGCCATTGATGGCACCAGCACAGAGCACTGCTCACTACTTGAGGCCACCAAGCTCCTGGCCAGTGTGACTGAGAAAGTGCGGCTGGAGATCTTGCCTGCCCCCCAGAGTCAGCGGCCCCTGAAGCCCCCAGAAGCAGGTGAGTCCCTCATCAGGTCTGTAGACCAAACCTAGAGTGGGAGTGCATACAAGATCCCAGAGCCCTGGGATGGAAGCCCTGAGCAGGCAGGAGAACTGTCTGAGGCCAGTATGCTGACTATCCCACTGAGGCCCCAGAGGCTGTGAGAAGCACAGTGGGCTGAAGCCAGGCTTTGTTAACATAGTTTCCGCTAAGGGCCAGGCCCACCTGGAAGCTCTCAGAGCTCATTCTCAACCTCACCATGGCCTGATGTAATGACAAAGGAGCCTAGAGCAGGGAATGGGGAAGCCAACTGCTGGTGCCCCATGTGCTCTGATTTTTGCCACAGAGTCTAAAGGACCTCCTAGCACCATCTGCCCACTATGCCCCCTGCTATTGTGGGCATCACTCAGCTAGAAACTTCTAGGATTCAGAGCAGTTGCTTGTGGGCCTGTGGCCTGGCTTTCCTTGTCTGTCGCTGAAGCTGGTGCCCGGGCACCATGCCTGGCATATGTGGGAGGCAGTAGGCTGGCTGTGCCTCACTGGCTCAGGCAGTGCAGGGGTCTTGGGTCTCACTTCCTGAGTGTGGGGAGTCCAACCTAGCTCGCCCTCAATACTCACACCACTTTCCTCTTCCCATGGCCACAGTGAGAGTGCAGAGGAGTGAGCAGCTGCATCGTTGGGACCCCTGTGTCCTCTCTTCCAACAGCCCGAGGCCCAGTCACTGCAGAGCTCCTGCCTGGGCACCTGGTGGCCATGACCAGAGTCGATGTAATGTACCTGCCATGGCAGCAAGGCTGCCCCCCTAAGCACCCCTTCCTACTGTGCCTGTTGTACTTGGGCAGGGGATTGTCCTTTGTCACCCAGCCTGTCCCTAATAGCATGCTTCCAAGGCCTGTAGAAACCTTGGCCTGTGAGGCCCAGAGTGGGACAGAGACCTGCCTGAGGTCACACAGCAAAGGGATGCAGTGAAGGGAAACACTGCACACCCATGCCCCACCTCATCCCCCGCCCCTGGCAACAGATGGAGCCCTGCCGGGGTTCACAGGGCTGTGCTCTGGTCTCCCCAGCCTTGTCTTCAACGCCTTTCTCCTCACCAACCATGAACTCCGCCTTTCCATGTGCCAGTGCCAGCACCCTGCCCCGAGGACCCATGAGCCCCAAGACCACGGCAGGGCGGAGGAGGCAGCGGAGGAGAGAACACAGGAGCTCTTGTAAGTAGGGGACAGTCCTGTGGGGTCCTTATGGGGTGCCTCTGGGAGCAAGGATGGAGCTGGTGGGTGGGGACTTGGGGTAGGGTGCCAGGTGTGATAAGGAATAGGAGTTAAATACACAATGCCCTGGCTACCTGGACATGGTGCAACCGTACAGTGGAGTGTTCAGTTAAGGCAGCAGTGAGACACTGTTCAGTGCTTGTCACCGAGGGCCACATGCTGGGCGAGGCCATTTCTGTGATGTGTCCAGGGACACCCACTGAGACAGAAATAGGTTGCTGATTGCCTGGGACATGGTGGCCAGATGGGTAAGGAGACAGCACTTCTTTTTTTCTTTTTGTTTTTGAGAAACAGGGTCTCGCACATAGCCCAGTTTGGCCTGGAACTTGCAATCCTCCTGACTCAGCCTCTTAAGTGCTGGGTGCCACCAGGCCCACCTCTGAGTTTCTTTGGGAGGGAATGACCATGCTCTGAGGTTGATGTTGGTGGGGTCTGCTTGATTATGAACATATTAAAGCCACCGGACCATACACTGAAGGCATGACCACTGTGGTTATGTGGGCTGCATAGGAATAAAGTCATACCAGGGACTGGAGAGATGGCTCCATGGTTAAGAATGCTTGCTGCTCTTACAGAGGGTCTGAGTTTGGTTCCCATCACCCACATGGCAACTCACAACCATCTTTAACTCCAATTCCAAGGGATCTGACACCCTCTTCAGGCACCTGCACTCTTAAGTACATAACTACGCACAGATACACACACACATACATCTAATTAAGAATAATAAAATAAATCTTAGGGGCCGCAGAGATGGCTCAGCAGTTAAGAATACTGGTTGTTCTTGCAGAAGACCTGGGTTTGAATCCCAGCACCCACATGGCAGCTAACAACTGTCCATAACTCCAGTTCCAGGGGATCCGACAGCCTTTTCTGACCTCCAAGGGCACTGCACAACATGGGTGCACTTACCTACATGCAGGCAATACATACATACCTCCAGTTCCGGGATCCGACAGCCTTTTCTGACCTCCAAGGGCACTGCACAACATGGGTGCACTTACCTACATGCAGGCAATACATACATACACATAAAATAAAAAATAATAAATAAAATTTAAAAAATCTTAGACAGGCATGGTGGTGTATGCCTTTTATCCCAGCACTTTGGAGGCGGGGGCAGGTGGATCTCTGTGAGATCAAGGTCAGCCTGGTCTATACAGTGAGTTCCAGGCCAGCTGGGGTTCAGGAAGACCCTGTCTCAAAAAAAGACCAAAAAGAAAAGAATAATATAAAATAAATCTTTTAGAAATGAAGTCATTACCAAAGCAAAATGTGTGTAGAGTACAGTCTCCCTTTTCCAGTTTTGCTGTCAAGGTTTTTGTTACCTACATTCAACCAACCACAATCTGAAAATATTAAATAGAATAGTCTAGAAATAAACCACTCACATGTTTTAAATTGTGCACTGTTTTGAGTAGATTGTCTCAGTTGGTCCATCCTTGGACATGAACAGTCTGCACAGTATGTCCACCGTGTATATGCTACATGCCTGTCAGTCATTCTGCCATCCCTGTTGATTAGATTGACTAGTGTCTACTGTTGAAGTGACCCTTATTTTACTGAATGCCCCCTCCCCCAAAACAACAGTGATAAGCCTGGGAATGTAGCTAAGATGGTAGAGTGCTTGCTAGCATGCATGAAGCTCTGCAGTCTATCCTCAGCACCAAATAGACCCAGCATGGTGGTGCATGCCTGTAACGAGGCAGGAGGATCAGATGAAGAAACGGAAGCCCATCCCAGGTGGTCCTGGGACTCTCCATCACCTACCCCTCTGACTCTGGGACCTTGTGAGGGCTCCCAGTGGGCAGCCCTAGAAGGTCTCATGGGGGCTCATCTGAGCACCAGGCCCTCTTGTCCCACAGTGTCACTGGCTTCCAGCACGGTAGGGCCAGGCGGGCAGATTGTCCATTCGGAGACCACAGAAGTCGTGCTTTGTGGAGATCCTCTCAGCGGCTTTGGCCTCCAGCTTCAGGGCGGCATCTTTGCTACTGAGACCCTGTCCTCCCCGCCCTTGGTGCGCTTTATCGAGCCTGACAGCCCGGCTGAGAGGTGAGCCTGCTACCTCCCTGGGCCTGTAATTTAGAGAGAACTAGTCCAGCCGGGGAAACGGAGTCGCAACCGTGGACCCTGGCTTGACAGGTGTACATGACTTAATCATCATATTGGTCCCATCACCAGCCCCATTTTACAGTTGAGGAAGCTGAGGTTCAGAGAAGTGGGTGCACTTGTCACACAGGACATGAGCCCTGTCTGCTTACAGTGAGAGGACTCTGTGAGTCTTGTGAGAAACCATAGCACCATCCCCAGTGGACAGACATAAACTGAGGCCCAGTAGGGTCAAATCCTTAGCTGAGGGAAGGGATGAATCATGGAGACCAGGAGCTGAGGGTTGTGCCCTGGCCCTGCCCTGTGCCTGGGGTTCTAGTCTTCTGACTGAGATTTCACCAGTCTCTTCTCTCCACCGGGTCCGGGGTTAGGTGTGGGCTGCTGCAGGTGGGGGACCGTGTCCTATCCATCAATGGCATTGCTACTGAAGATGGGACTATGGAGGAAGCCAACCAGCTGTTGCGTGATGCTGCACTGACTCGAAAAGTTGTTCTGGAGATTGAGTTCGATGTGGCAGGTGAGTGGGAGGCCCAGCTGCCCTGCACAGTCTGGGACCCTGCCCCTGCCCCATTGTGCTCCCAGGGTCCTGTGCAGTGTAGGCCTGAGCCTTGCCTGAGGAGGAGAGAGTACCGCACAGGAGTGATGGGTCAGGAGGACTTGCAGTGGACTGGATGCTGCAGGGACAGAGCAGGACTGAAAGACTCCAGGCCGCTTCTCCACAGGGCACAGGTGGAGAACCTGAAACAGCAGCTTGGGTCAGAGCTCTGATCCTGTGAGTTCTACACTGTGTGGACTGGACACTCCATCCCTTCACCCTCAGTTTCCCCATCTGTCAGATAGCAGATGACCCTGCATGAGTGTGATTTGGAGAAAGAAGTCATGAATATGTCCAGCCAGGCTCAGCCCACCTTAGCTGGAAAGTGGGCCAAGTTTGGATATAAGCTGCCCCAGCTCTGGCTTTTGTCTGTTCTCTGCTCTGAGAACAGTGCTCAGCTGTTTCCTGCCAGTCTGTCAACCCTCTGGGCCTCAGTGTCTTCATCCTTACAGGAAGGGGCAGCAGGGTGGAATTGGAATGGTAACTCTCTGAGATCTCCCTCCCATATGCCCTGAAAACCCTTGTAAGACAGGGATCTGTGATTCTTCTGGAGTCTGGTGTATTTCTTGACTGTTTGTTCTCAGAATCTGTCATCCCGAGCAGTGGGACATTCCACGTGAAGCTGCCCAAGAGGCGTGGAGTAGAGTTGGGCATCACCATCAGTTGTGAGTCCCCTCATACCTGGTTTAATCTTACCACATCCCCATAGGGTGGCGGGAACACCACCATTTTATAGCACAGACATGGAGGCATGGAACAGCAAGCTGATTTGCTCACAGCCACACAGCCAGGAAGCAATGGGACTAGGAGTAAACAGTGTCCTTTCTGGACCCCTGGGCCTCACCACAGTCCACCTTAGGCAGAGGCCCTTGAAGATCAGATTTACAGCCTCTCTCCCTCACCCTGCAGCGGCCAGCAGAAAGCGAGGGGAGCCCCTGATCATCTCTGACATCAAGAAAGGCAGTGTGGCACACAGGTGGGGCGCCGCATGGGCAGGGACCCGGCCACAGGGGTGGGGCAGTGTCCTCCTGTGCCAGGCTCCTCCCATCCCTGTCCCGCTCATTCAGGACTGGCACCCTGGAGCCAGGGGATAAACTGCTGGCCATTGATAATATCCGCCTGGACCACTGTCCTATGGAGGACGCTGTGCAAATCCTGCGCCAGTGCGAGGATCTGGTCAAGCTCAAAATACGGAAAGATGAGGACAACTCGGGTATGCTCTTAGGAGACTTTGCCCACCAAGAGGTGGGAGTAGGGGCTGGGATCAAGCTCTAGGCCTTTGGGAGCCTCAGGGAGAGTCCTCCAAGCATGAGATGTTGGCTAGGGAGGGATGCTTGATGTAAGGGGCTGCCCCATGGAGGACAGAGGTAAGAGGCAGGGAGGCAGAAGAGAGTGGTGAGTGAACCCCATATCCAGAGAAGCAATCTAGGGCCCCCACCCAGGAGAGAAAGCCACTCACGGACAGGTTCCTCCCTCCCCATCTCCTTCCCTCCCCTCGCCTTGCCCCTCCCCTCCCCTCTCCTCTCCCCTCCCCTCTCCTCTCCCTTCTCTCCTGTGCTCTTTCTTTTTTCATTTCTCTTTCCTTTTTGATTTCCTTTATGCCTTGTTTCCTTCTTGGTTCTTCCTCCTCTACTTTCCTTTCTACTTCTTTTTCCTTCCCACCCTCCCCCCTTTCTTCTTCCCTTTCCGTAAATCTTGAGTCACTGTGGGTGGTGTAAGAAATCTGTACTTTCAAATGTTGGTTCTGTGTTTCTTTAGCCTTTTTTTTTCTTCCCTTAATGGAGTTTGGGCAGCAGATTGAGGGGACCTCCAGGTCTCCAGGTCCCCAGGGTATACCCCTGAAGTCCTGCCTGAGTGAGTGTGTGAGGACTGATGAGGTCCTAAGACATTGAAACAACACCCAGGCTGGGGGAGGGGCCCCTTCCTGGGTCTCACCCTCAGGCTGCCTGTCCCCTTGCAGATGAACAGGAGAGCTCGGGTGCAGTCAGCTACACAGTGGAGCTGAAGCGCTATGGTGGCCCCCTTGGTATCACTATCTCGGGCACAGAGGAACCGTTTGATCCCATCATTATTTCTGGCCTCACCAAGCGCGGCCTGGCAGAAAGGTGAGTCAGGACTCTGTAAGAGCACAGGGAGGGCCTGGGAACACTTAGGGAGCAAAGAGGTGGGCTTTGGGACCAGCTAAACTAGATTCTGATTTCTATACCAACATTGTAGCTCTGAGGGACAGCGGGCCAGTCACTTCCTCCCTCTGAGCATCACTCCCCATCCTTAACATGAGTTTTGGTCCAGTCCAGTAGAAAAACAAGGCAGAGAGCCAGGGCAGAGACTGCTCACCTTCATTTATCTTCTTCCCAGAGTGCATCCTTGATGGTCAACACTGTGACAGATTTAGAGGCCACTGTGCACCTGAATTGCAGCAGCACCCTAGTGCTAGAGCCACACATATGAACTTTTTCTGAGGCCCTGGGGAAGTTGGGCTATCTGCCCCTTGGATGTGTCCCTGATCTGTGCCAGGGAAGGAGCCCTGACAGGAAGATGGCCTGGCTGTCTGCTGGGTGGGGTGGGCAGAGTTAGAATGGGCCCCAGGTGGGTGAGCCCTAACTTTCTCCCATGGCTATGAAGGGATGAATCAGTTAGGGGCATGAGGAAGGGTGAGCTCCCCTGCAAGGCTCTGGCTCAAGGGTGAACCCCATGGAGGGAGGAGGGGGAGGTGGTGGTGTAGAGGGTCTTCAGGGACCAGAGACACAGGTTCGGCCACTTCTGGAGTGTCTGATTTCTATACCAACATTGTAGCTCTGAGGGACAGCGGGCCAGTCACTTCCTCCCTCTGAGCATCACTCCCCATCCTTAACATGAGTTTTGGTCCAGTCCAGTAGAAAAACAAGGCAGAGAGCCAGGGCAGAGACTGCTCACCTTCATTTATCTTCTTCCCAGAGTGCATCCTTGATGGTCAACACTGTGACAGATTTAGAGGCCACTGTGCACCTGAATTGCAGCAGCACCCTAGTGCTAGAGCCACACATATGAACTTTTTCTGAGGCCCTGGGGAAGTTGGGCTATCTGCCCCTTGGATGTGTCCCTGATCTGTGCCAGGGAAGGAGCCCTGACAGGAAGATGGCCTGGCTGTCTGCTGGGTGGGGTGGGCAGAGTTAGAATGGGCCCCAGGTGGGTGAGCCCTAACTTTCTCCCATGGCTATGAAGGGATGAATCAGTTAGGGGCATGAGGAAGGGTGAGCTCCCCTGCAAGGCTCTGGCTCAAGGGTGAACCCCATGGAGGGAGGAGGGGGAGGTGGTGGTGTAGAGGGTCTTCAGGGACCAGAGACACAGGTTCGGCCACTTCTGGAGTGCCACCTGCTGGACTCCCTGGAGACAGCAGGGGCTGAGGGGACCACTCTGACTCCAGCAGGCTCTGCAGCTGGGGTTTACATCAACCCCCAGCCTTCCTGGCTGGACAGCTTGGGGCTGCAAAGCACAATTTGCAGTATAATCAGACCTGCACTCCAAAACAGCTTTCTAGTAGTCACATTCAAAAAGTAAAATGAAACCAACGTAATCTTAAATGCATGCATTTCAACATGTAATCTATATCTATATCTATATATATAAAAAATCTTTTTGAGACAGGGTCTCCCTTAGCCTCAGCTGGCTTGAAAATCACTATGTAGACCAGGTTGGCCTTGAACTGACAGAGATCCACCTGCCTCCGCCTCTTGAGTCCTGGGATTAAAGGCTTGCACCACCATGCCCAGTGTAATCAATATATTTTAAATTTTCTCTTAATTTTTAAAGTTAGCATGAAAAGTAATGGATTTCATTATGGCATTTTATACATATGTTGTAACATTCTGTTCTTATTCAGCCCCATCCCCCACTGCCTCCCACAATGCCCTGTACCCCTCTTCCTGGTCCCCTTCTTTCCCTCAAATACCACCTCCACTGTTTTCTGGTCACAAGCATTCCACCACCTCTCTTTCTCTGTCTTCCCTCTCCCTGAAGGTCAGTTCTCTTTCACAGTCCCCTTCTACCCCTCCCTATATAAAATCTTAAATCAGGGCCCCACATGTGAGAGAGAACATGTGGTATTTATCTTTCTGAGTCTGGCTTATTTTGCTTAATGATTTAATGATTTCCAGTGCTATCTATTTTCCTGAAAATTTTATAATTTAATTTTCTTTTCTTTTTAAAACAACTTTTAAAAATTACATTTATTTATTTGTGTGTGCATGCACACTCACATGTGTGTGGGCACGTGTGGAGAGGTTAGAGGACAACTTTTGGGAGCTGGTTCTTTCCTTCCCTTCCACCAAGTAAGTCCTAGGGATGGAACTCGGGTCATCTGGCTTGCGAGCACTTGTCTTTACCCACTGAGCCATCTCACTGGACCTCAGTTTTCTTTATCTGAATAAAATTCCATTGTGTATATGTACTGCATTTTCATAGGCTGGTTCCATTTCCTGGCTATTGGGAATAGTGTGGTAATGAACGAGGTGTGCATGTATCTCTTGGGGGAACAGAGTATATAGAGCTAGGAGTGAGAGAGCCTGGTCAAACAGTAGTTATACTTTCAGTGTTTTGAGAAACCTCAACATTGATTTCCATAGTGAGTTTCAGGCCAGCCTGGGCTACATAGCTAGACCCTGTCTCAAAACAAAAGAGGAGGAAGAGTTTGATCTTCAGCTGAATCAACAAAGGTAGAAGCCAGGAATCTGGGAGAGGATTTTCCAGCAGAAGGTCTGAAAATGGCATGAATCCACGTCCTAGCTGCCAAGCACCAGCTATGAGATCCTGAACCCACCCTCCCTCCCTCCCTCCCTCCCTCCCTCCCTCCCTCCCTCCCTCCCTCCCTCCCTCCCTCCCTCCCTCCCTCCCTCCCTCCCTCCCTCCCTCCCTCCCTCCCTCCCTCCCTCCCTCCCTCCCTCCCTCCCTCCCTCCCTCCCTCCCTCCCTCCCTCCCTCCCTCCCACCTTTCTGCCTTCCCTCCCTCTTCTTCCCCCCTCCCTCCCTCTCCTTCCCTCCCTCCTTCCCTTCCACCTTCCCTCCCTCCCTCTCTTTCCCTCCCTCCCTCCTTACCTCTCTGAGACTGGTCTCACAGTCCTTCCTCCACTGAGTGGTGGGATTGCAGGAATGACCCATCATGCCTGGCTTTTCTTCCTCCCTCACAGGGGACCAGGCAGGTCTGTGCTTTGGGGCTCCTGTGTAGTGTCTGAACCCCCACCTTCCGAGGCCCTGAGCATCTAAGCACCTTTCGTGCCCTGTGCCTATTCCCTAGGACTGGTGCCATCCATGTGGGGGACCGCATCCTGGCCATCAACAGTGTGAGCCTCAAGGGCCGGCCACTGAGTGAGGCCATCCACCTCCTGCAGGTGGCTGGGGAGACAGTGACACTGAAGATCAAGAAGCAGCTGGACTGTGAGCCTCACCCAGTCCCAGCACTCTCTCCCAGCCTGTAGAGGAAGGGCAGCCCTGGACCAGGCGGTGCCACCATCCTGGGGGGGGGTGTCCCTGGGGGGTGTCCCCAGGGCAGCCAAAGGGGGAGTCTCAGCCAGAGGGGTGATGCACCACAGCTGAGGGCACAAACTAGATCCAAGCCATGCTCCCTATCATCTCATACCCTTTAGGTGCTGGCATGTGCCTCTGTCCCCATCTGTACATCCCTCAATTTCCCTGAGTCTTAGGGGTATTTCATCTAGTCAGAGCTCCACTGTTGTTCACCATTTGACCTTGGGCATATTGCTCAGTCTTGGGAGCCTCAGTTTCCCCATTTATGAAGTGGGTTTGTTTACTAGTGTGCCCTACCTACATGGCAGAAGCCAGTTTGCCAGGGTGCCTGGGAGTTCCCAGAAGTGGGGAAACTGAGGCTCACAGAGTATCTGTGTCTCCAAAGCCAGAGATGATACCCCTCTTTTCCTCCCAGGCCCCCTCCTACCCCGCCAGTCAGGCAGCCTCAGTGAGGCCAGCGACGTGGATGAGGACCCACCTGAAGCCATCAAGGGAGGCTTGCTGGGAGCCCGATTCTCTCCTGCTGTACCCAGTGTGGACAGTGCCATGGAGTCTTGGGGCAGCTCAGCCACAGAGGGTGGTTTCAGGGGTTCAGGTAATCAACCAGGCACCTTGGACGTATTTGGGAGAAGCTGATCCCGCTGCCTGCTTCTCCTAGTGCCTTCTCTCTCAGCTAGCTCTGTCTTATAGGGACAGTTCATGAGGACCACTGGCTCCATCCTTCACCCTCCACCCTCCAGAATGATCTACAGTCCTGTCTTTCCTCTATATGAGGCTGGGTACCAAGCTGCCCTTACTTCTGCTGTCTCTCTCCTTTTCCCTATGTCTAGCACACTGTAGGTGCTCAACTAATGTTCATTGCACCCTATCAACTGGGCAAGAGGGGAAGGCAGACAGCACCCTCCCTGCCCATGTGACTGAGAGATCCATAGGTACTGCCCTCTGGCCTGTGGTTGAGGCCCTCAAATCCTGGCTCAGGGAACTAACTAGCAGCAAGGCCTCCAGGGACCTTGGTGGCTTCCAGCCCCGGAGAACAGGCCACGAGCATCCCCATCCCAGGTTCTTGGCTGTACCTCCAAGCTCACCCCATAACACTTGGAGTCCTGCAGGTGGAGCTTGGTTGTGGTCCAATCAAAAACTCTCATTTAAGGAGGTCTAGGGCAAGGCACACTTAGTGGAACTGGCCAGGGTCCTGGAACCCAAATGTTAACTGCTGAATGGCTGAGAGTTCCAGGAAGCATGAGGGGTGGCAGGGCCCCCTGGGGCTCTCAGTGGTCACTTGGGCCAGAGAGAAGCACAGACTGACATGTCCCTTGGTACCCAGCCTGGAACTGGGAAGGAGGATGAGGCAAGGATAGAGTGAAAACCCATGTTCCTCTTCACCCACCAGGTTCCTACACCCCGCAGGCAGCAATCGGGGGTGTGACCCCTCAGGAGTGGCGACCCAGCAGGCTAAAGAGCAGCCCTCCACCCCTTGAGCCCCGGAGGACGAACTACACACCAGCCCCCACTGAGGAGAACTTCCCAGAGGAGGAGGAGGGGGAGTGGGAGCCACCGATGAGGTCTGTGGTGGGAACCCCATGAAGGGGGATAACCAGGAGGGTAGCAGTGTCTGGACCAGGGAGCTGGGGGGAACAGAAGAGTATCCCTGGTCTGAGGAAAAGAGGTACTGAGCCACGCTGGGCAAGGCTAGGAAGCGTAGTGTGGAGGAACAGCAGCAAAGGTGTGGAATGGGCAGCAGCCTGCCTTGCTCCTCCTGAGTCTGTGAATCTCCTGTTGTCAGAGATGCAACACTGGACTCAAAATTCAAGTCCAGACCCCTCCTTAGTTCAGGTTGTCTATCCTCTTGGCAGGACCCTTAGTTCACAACCACCAAAACCTGGGCTGTGCATGCTGCATGTGCCTGACTGGGCTGGCACAGGAGCTGGTTCCCACAGAGTGGGTCTCTGCAAGAAGCACCTGCACTTCCCTTGCCCAGGTTGCACCCCTTCTCTCTGAATTACATCATCTTCCCTAAGAGAGGAAGGCAGGCTTTCAAGGAAAGAGGACTTTGTAAACCACAGTGCCAAGAACTTAGCAAATGTGTAAGCTGTCAGAGGTGACTTCGAAGACTGTGGCACTTCCTGTTGGCTTGGTGTTAGCTGCTGATTTGCCACACAGTGTGGGCTGGCCAGGATGGATGTTGCCCACCCCTCCCCCAGCACAAATATCTCATTCTCTCCATCCATCTGTGTCCTGGTTGGCTCTAGCTCTGTCCTGTCACTGTCCCACGGTGCCATGTGTCTGGGTGGGAACAGGGACTGTCTTCCTGGGCTATGCCATGGATCTCTCTGTCTCTGTCCTCTGTCCGTCTGTCTTTCTTCCCAGGCGTCCTGTGTCACTGCTCTCCACCCCGTCTCATCTGCCCCTGTTCTAATTGGCCACCAACAGTCTTGGTTGCCCCTAACTGCGTCTTCCCCCATTCTGTGTCACCAACCACTGCCCCGGGGCCCCAGCACTGCCACCGAGGACACCCGCCTGCCTGCCTGCCAGCCCTATGGCCCCTGGAGCCCAGCACTGGGTCCTGGGTGCCGAAGACTCCTCAGGCCCAGCCCACCCGCCCTCCTACCCGCCAGGAGTTGACGCTGTGGTTCCTACGTTGCAGCCCAGCCCCTGGCCCTGCCCGAGAGGAGGGCTTCTGGAGAGTGTTTGGGGAGGCCCTCGAAGACCTGGAGTCCTGTGGTCAGTCAGAGCTGCTAAGGGAGTTAGAGGTATGGTCACCTGGATGATGAGCCTGCAGGGGTCCCATGTCTTGGACACACTGAGGGTGCACTGCACACAGTTGGGCTCATGCTCCTATGTCACCTGGGCATGCATACTAGCTACTTGTCTTGTTGCGAGGACAGAGTACCTGACAAAAGCCACATCAAGAAGGGTTGGAGGCTGGAGAGATGACTCAGTGGTTAAAGCATTCGCTGCACAGCATGAAGCCTAGAGCTCAGATTCCCAGAAATCCACCTAAATGCTGGGTGTGTGTGCAGCTTATCTGTAATTCTAGACTCAGAAGGTGAAGACAGGATCCCCAGAGCAAGCTTGCTAGCGTGACTAACCATATGAGTGAGCTCTGGGGTTGATTAAGGGACAGACCCTGCCTCAGTGAATAAGGTGGAAGAGCGGTTGAGGACGATTCCCAGTATCAACCTTGGGCTCCACATGTACACAGACATAAGTTCCTGCACACCTCCATGCATGTTGCCCATATACATGCAAACATGCACATACATACACACTGCACATACATACACATGCACACAGAGAAAATGAATAAAAAAGGAAGGGGTTATTTTGGCTCACAATCTGAGCTACAGTCTATCACAGCAGGGAAGGCAAGGTGGCAGGAGTGTGAGATGGATGGCCATGTTGCAGCCATAGTCAGGAAGCAGAGAGAGGGATGAATGCTGGTCCTCAGCTCACTTCTCCCCTTTCTAGTCTGATACCCCAGCTCATGGGCATGGTGCTGCCCATTTCCAGAGTGGGTCTTCTCACCTCAGTCAATCCAATTTAGAAGCTTCCTCATGGACATGCCCAGAAGTGTGTCTCCCAGGAGATTCTGGATCCTGTCAGTTGGACAATTAATATTGACCATCACTGTATGTGTTCTCTCACCTGGGCACGGAGCTGTGGAAACAGCTGCAAACATCCAAACATATGAGAAAGCTTGCATTATTACCATGTGTGTACTGGGAGCATGCTGCACATGCTGCAGGGTCTCTTCAGGGAGTGTGTGTCTGAAGCAAGTGTGTGGTGGTGCCCTGAGGCCATCTTGCTGTCTTTGTGGGTATGGGGCCAGTGCACATATGATGTGGGTGTGCCCTTTGAAAGCCTTGAGGGGTCATAGGTGCCAGCTTTGAGTGAAATCAGCATCATGCAGCTATGGGACAGGCTGCCCCTCAGGATCCCAGGGGATCTAACAAAACCATTCTGAACCCTGTTCTCAGAGCAGTTTACCTCAATCTAAGCCTCATCTAGACTGCTCTACCACCCCCATTTTATTCTAGTATTGTTGATTGGGGCCATCCTCCCCTCCATCAGCTTTGCCAATTACCAGGGTCCTCAAAACAAATAACCATCAGATTTTGATTTTATTCTTTTCCATTTCTTTGTTTTTATATTACTCACTTCTGTTTAGCTTTGATATTCGTTTCCTTAGATGTTTAATTTTTTAAAATTTGATAGGTTTATTTACTTATTATTTTATGTATATGAGTGTTATGCCTGCATGTGGGTAAGTACACCCGTGTTGTGCAGTGCCGGGGGAGCATACAAAAGGGTGTAGGATCTCCTGGAACTGGAGTTACAGACCGTTGTTAGTCACCATGTGGGTGCTGGAATCCAAACCCAGGTCTTCTGTAAGAGTCAATACTCTTAACTGCTGAAGCCATTCCTCCAGTCCCAACATTTAAACATTTTTAATTTACTTGTATTTTATGTGTATAAATGTTTTGTCTGTTTGTATGTAAGTATACCTATGCTTGCAATGCCCATGGAGGTCAGAAGAGGGTGTTGGATCCCCTTGAACTGGAGTCACTGATGGTTTTGAACTGCCAAAACCAAACCTGGTTGCTGGGAACCAAACCTGGATCCTGTTCAAGAGCAACTAGTGCTCTTAACTGTTGAGCCCCTCCTTAGACTTTTTTTTTCTTTGAGACAGTGTCTCAAACTCACTATGTAGACTAGGCTGGCCTCCATCTCACAGAGATCTATCTGCTTCTGTCTCCTGAGTGCTGGGATTAAAGGCCTGTGCTACCACGCCCAGCTTCCTTAGACAGTTTTTTTGTTCTGGTTTCTTAGCTATTTAATTTTCACTCTTCTTTTTCTATGCAATACACTTTCAAAGCTATGAATTGACCTGTAAGAACTGCCTTGCCTGTGACCCCACAGGTTTTGTTTGTGGTACTTTTATTGTCTACTCAGAATCAAATATTTTAGTTTTCCATGGTCATTTTGACTTAAACCCTTGAAATTAACAGAAGTACAGGTTTAGGGTTTTAACTGCTACTTGCTTTGTTTAATCTCTTCCAGTTCACTGATTTTCCCTTAGACTGTATTCATTCTGTTTAACTCATTTCCTAGAAGTTATGTTTAATTTCTATATCTGTATTTCCATAACATCTCTAGTTTTTACATCTTGAGACTTTTTTCTTTTAAAAAATTTAAAAATTATTTATTTTTATTTTCATGTGTATGAGTGTTTTGCCTGCATGTATATAAGTGTACCTGTGCGTGTACCCACAGAGGCCAGAAGAAAGTGTTGGAACCACTGGAACTGAAATTATGGATGGTTGCTAGCTGTCATGCGGGCGCTGGGAACTGACCCAGGCCCTCAGCCAGTGCTCTTAACTGCTTCACCATCTCCCCACACCCTGAGACTTCTTTTTTCTTAATGCCTTTTGCTTTTCCTATTATTTCTAGCTCCCAGAGTGTGAATTGCCCTAGCTGTTGTGTCTCTGGTCAGGTGGGCTTTAAAAATATCATCATTGCAGTTACTTTGGCTGCAGTTGCCCCGTGACTCCCCTCTGCTCTGTGGTAGTGGGGTGTCTCTGAGGTAGTCTGCCGTGTCTTGAACATCAGTAGTACCAAATCAGGGCTGACATTATGTTCTCTACCCAGTGCTTTTTTCTTTTTAAACATATTTTACTTATTATTTTTATGTATATGAGTGTATTGCCTGCATGTATGTAAGTGCACCTGTGTCATGTAGTGCCCACGGAGGTCAGAAGAGGGCATCGGATCCCTTGGAACTGGAGTTACAGATGGTTGTTAGCTACCATGTGGGTGCTATGAATTGAACTTGGGTCCTCTGAAAGAGTAGCCAGTGCTCTTAACCTCTGAGCCATCTCTCCAGCCCTCAGCCTGGTATTTCTATGCTATTGAGGAAAGCAGGTTTGACCCCACATTCATGAAGAGGTAAAGTTGTCACAAGCAACTTCCCCCTCCTTCAACAGGTCCCTTCTGCACTCTTATGCTGATGAGCAGGCCCTTTCTTGTTCCCATCCAGCAGTCAGAAGACACATCCAGCTTCCTACTTAGACAGCATCTTTCCCTTGAATGGTACCCAGTGGCTAACACACATCTCAGACCCATTACTTTCCTCGGGCTCTGAAGTCCATAAGTAGGATGTCTCCACTCCTGCGCTTACTGTCTTCAAATTTTTTCATTTTTGCTTTACATTTTTTAAAGTTCATCCAAGTCTGTATGTAGTTGGAGGAAGATAGGATCTTCCTGCATTAGCTCAATAAATCTTACCTGGAAGTCCTAGAATTCTACAGTTCTGTTGGTCCAAGAACCTTGGATACCTGTGCTCCCCTGATCTCCAAGTCGTACTGTGTGTGTGGGGGCGGCGGCATGCAGGCCCTTGCATGCATATATGTAGGCCAGAAGTCAATGTCAGGTGCCTTCCTGAATATCTCTCCACTTTATTTTTTAAAGACTTACTTACTTTTTTTTTTAATTTTTAAAAATGATTTATTTAATAACAACATACTTAGAAGAAGCATATCATTACAACACAATTGACATATTCAATAACGGTTTCCTGAGGTAGGATGCATCTCTTTCAAAATTGGCTGTAAATTTTTAGGTTTACAGTTGAATTAATATAATTA